ACTATTTCTACTTCTGCTACAAACTATAAAATATTCCAATTAGGTATCCTATCTTTGATACATAAATGTAAGGGACTTACCTCATATCAGGTTTTGGGGCTTTTTCCTCACTACAGTAGCAGCAACCCATGAGGGGGAAAATTAAGCACAACAAAAACCCATTATAATACAACTTAAAATCTTTGCAAATGCAGGTTCTCATTTGGGTCTATTGTCTTTAGTATCCAGAGCTGCTATAATTTGCTCTTGAATGACATTTCATTAAATTGGAAATTCAGAACCTGGGAAAAAATGAACTAACTAGTCCATAAGATAAAAATAGTAGTGTCTTTCTGGGACCAGGGATCATGCAGATGAGGCAGAAATTATTAATAATCTGGAGGATCTCAGAAGGCCCCGTTTGTCAGTAATCAGAAGAGGAAGCCAAAAACAGGTAAGAAAATCAGAATTGTGTAGGTCAAGAGCATGGAAAACTCCTTTGGACAGAAAGCCCTTTTCTTTTCTTTTTCTTTTTTCTTCTATTGTATGCCAAGGCAAATTACTGAGTTTCTGAGAGAACACGTGACTAGGAGATTGAGAGGTGTATGTCACTTGGATGTATAAACAAATATTTAGAACTAGAAGGATCCTCAGAAACTTTGTCAGTGGAGACCTTTTCGATTGCAAAGAACAGAAATTAGTTCAAGTAATTGTCTTAGCTGGCTCAGGCTGCTATAACAAATACCGTAGACTCTTAGGTTCATTGCTCACAGTTCTGGAGGCTGAGAAGTCTGACATCAAGATGCTGATCATGTCTGGTGAGGGCCCTCTTCCTGATTTGAGACAGTCTCCTTGTTGCATTTTCACATGGCAGACATAGAGATCATCTTTCTCATGTCGCTTCTTGTAAGGGCACTAATCCCATTCATGAGGGGCTCCACTTCTATGACCCAATTACCTCCCAAAGGTCCCACCTCCAAATACCATCATATTTGGTAATAGAGTTTCAACATAAGAATTTTGACGGACATAAACATTCAGTCCATAATGGTAATTTAGCCCTAGAAAAGGAGAATTTATTGTAATGGTGAGAAACTTTGGGAAAGGCACTTAGTTTCTCTACTTCCTAGTTTACTAGAAGTAAATGGAAAATAATAATGTTTTCCCAATTTCTAGATAATCTGAATTATCATTCATATTTTGAAAGTATGGGAGCAGTATTTTCCCCAAAATGATTTATTTTTATTGTTTTCCTTTGCTTGGGTCAGAAGAAACTGAAAGGGTGGTCAATCTATATATATTTGTATAGTGAAATAAGTATCATAAGGGTATATTATGGTTCAGGATGCAGTTTGTTAGCATGAAGAGAAAATACAACCTTATAGGATTTCATATTGCATTTGGGACTTTAAAAAGTCTAGCAGTCGACTACTGGCATTTCCTCTAGGAGTGTGGTGATATGGTTGATTCTGACTTCTTTATCTCAGGGTGACTAGTGCCTTTGTGTCCCTGCTCAGAGTTTATTTAATAGCTATCTTTATAAGTTGACCTTTAGAAATCACTTAATTTTTTTATGTGTGCCATTACAGACAATGTGACCTTTGAGTGTACCCTAGGATTACAGGCTTTTAAACTTATAGCTAAATTAGTTGGGCAAATTACCTTGGTCAAATTGCCCAACCTCTCTGAGTTTCAGTTTCAGTAATCGAGTGAAAGTAAATAACCCCAGTTGTTCTGAGATTTAAATAAGATACTATGAATAGAGTTTAGTATAATGTTCTGCATGGAGTAAGCGCTCAGAAAATGGTAGCCATTATTCATTATAATTAACCTGAAAGACCTTCAGGAAGTGTAGAATGCTTTGGTTTTCACATACGCTACACTTGGAAGACCTCTTATGTCTGTTGCTTGAAGAATAGTGCCCTCAGAGAGGAGCAGCTTCTCAGTAACAAAATAAGTGACAGTCTCAAGTTAATTGTGTCATATTATTTCTAATTACATACTGAATTTTCTCTGGAGAATGATTTTGTTTTTGATGAAGAAATATAAAAGCTGTTTACGTAGTTGGAGGCTATACACCTTTCATTTAAATAGTAAAATTGTTCTATATTAAATAAAACTAAGAAAACACAAAAGAGAGCTACCTGTCCTGAAACTCAAAGGCTGCTAATGTGTCATTTCTACAACCAAAAAAGAGGCTTTGTCTTGAACTTTTTTATTCAGAGATCTGCATTTTCCTTTAAGATTTAATCAAGTTTCACTCTGTCTTGAGTTTCTTGCTCTGTTCCCAGTTTTCCACCCACCGCATGGCAGTTTCTCCAGAGGCCTCTGAACATAGGCAGGGAGCAGCTGCCTTTGTAGTCAACACCACAGTTGTTGGTCCTGGAAGTAAGCTGCTTCGCCTTTCCCCTGCCAGAGCCTCTGAACATTTAGAGACAGACCATAAAAGCCATAAATTTAGATTTACTCTTAAGGAAATTAAAATTAATGACCTGCTTTTTTCATTTGGGATATAACTTTTTCCTCTTAGAATAATAGTACTTCATATTGTATTTTATCAAAATGGAAGATCACAACTAAAAAAGCAGGACCATCCATAAACATGAAAACAGTTTGATATTCTACTCAAGATTTCGCAGAACAAAAAAAAAAAATGTTTTAACTTCAATCATTTTGAAGGCTGGAGCCCACATCAGGGAAGGCATACTCGCAGTTGATTAAGTGCCACTTCTATTCAGCACGTCCTCATTGAGTGCCACTCTGTGCAAGCTATGCAGGAAAAGCTGGGAAATACCGAGAGAAGGATGCTGGTTTCTGCCTCCAGGGAGGTTAGCTCACTTCAATAAATGTTGTGTGCCTGCACCGATGCTTAACACCTAACAAGGACTGACTTTACCATATTGTGTTGGGGCACAAGTGAATTAAATTTTTTCAGACCTAGTGCTATAGGATTCAAAGACAGGAGGGTGAGATAGGTCATGGTTTAAAAAAGCCTTTTTAGAAGCAGAGGTTAGGCACAGGAGGGAGACATTTGCAAATAATTACCTGAATGCCAGGCCTTGAATCAGGCTCATTCCATATCATCTCATTTTCAAATATAATTTAAAGATCCTTGTTTGTAGTTCATTGTAAATTATAGAGATTGGAAAATATGGTTAGCAAAAAACATGATCATGCTAGATGTGCTATTTTATAATCTGATTATGCCACTTAATACATTTTGGACATTTCCTATGTCATAAGTATGCTTTTTCACATTACTCTGAAAAACTACATGACTTCTTTAGCCATTTCCCTTATAACTAAGTTAGGTAAGAAGATCTAAATATAAGAAAAATTAAACCAGGGAAGTTTTAGGAGAAAATATATAATCTAGAGGGTGAGCACATTTTTAAATGCATATATTAAAGGCAGAAAACTTAACAGAAAAGATGAGTAGTTTTAAACATATAAAAATTAAAAATCTTTTGGATATCAAGAGTATTATAAGTAAAATTTGAAGGCATTTTCTCATTTAATTCTTAGAACAGCTTTGTGTAGGAGGTGCTTAGATTCCTTTTAGAGAAGAGGAAACCGAGGCACAGAGCAATGACATTGTGGAAATCAATGGATTTCTGTCAGATTGATGATCTTGGTGAAGAATAAAAGCTGATACAGGCAGAATGAAGAGGTCGCTCATGTTACTCTTTGCAACAGCCTTGTATATGAATTCCAGCTTTATGAGACAAGGTTATGGATGAGTTTCTTTTTAGACAGTTAAAAATAATTATATTTTCATCCCATCCTTTAAAGTGTTCATTTCTATATGCTTTCTCATTATGACTTGTGACAAAAAAAGATACATTTTTCAGGTGTGTCTTCAAATGCAAAATTTCAGAGACATCGAGGACAGACAAATTAGATGCTGATTACAAAAGGTTTCAGTCCCCTTTTACTTTTGCTTATATGGTATACTGTGCTATTCCTTGAATAGCAGGAATTGTCAAGGCCACAGTTAAATTAGCATAGTTTAGATCATGAAGAAATTAATTATGGCTATGGGCCGGCCCGGTGGCGCACTGGATAAGTGCGCCGCTTGGGAAGCGCGGCGGCGCTCCCGCCCGAGGGTTCGGATCCCACATACAGACCGGTTCCCACTCACTGGCTGAGTGAGGCGCAGGAGCAACACCGAGGGTTGCGATCCCGTTTCCGGTCCCCGGTCTGGTACGGGGGCAACACTGAGGGTTGCGATCCATTGCCGGACACGGAAAAAGACAAAAGACCAAAAAAAAAAAGAAATTAATTACGGCTATTATCATAGTTTGTCACTGGGAAAATCTGGAATGAAAAAAATTACAGTGTAAATGTTTTTAGATCATATTTAGGTGAATCCAATCAAGTTAAAAATTCCATCACATCTTGGATATGAGCAGATGGCTCATTGATTGTGTATAGTAAAATGTTTCTGTGTAATTGATCTTAATTTTTACTTAAAATAAGGTATATAATATTTACCTACTCTGGAGTAACAAAATTTATGCTATGTAATAATAACTTTGACACGTTTACAGAATCATGTTTAATGGACACTCCAGAGCTCTGCTGAATACCACAGTTTGGCCTGTTTTCTACATTTTTTAGGAATCTGGAAAAGCTGTAAGAAATTAAATATCTATCATAAAGTTTTTGCATCAAGCTCAGCTACCACACTCTTGAAGTTTAGCAAAAGGGTCAAGAACTGTATGTTCATTATTAACTGTAGTCAAAAGTGAATTTAAGAGACTTTTAATAACTATTTAGAATTACTATTTGAATGTGTACTAAAAAGAATGTTAAGATTTTTAACATTAGAAAATCCTACATATATACACTTAAAAATTAATTGACTTTGCAGTTTAATCCAAATATATATATGTGTGTGTGTATACATATATATATATGTGTGTGTGTGTGTGTATACATATATATATATATGTATACATACATTATATAAAATATGCATATTGTATTTTTACAAGTACATTTTATTTTTTCCTGCACAGATAAATAATCAGATCCTGTATGGAAGAAGTCACCAAAATGCATCTGCCATTATTAAGACTGCCCCATCAAAGGTCAAGCTGGTTTTCATCAGGTAAGGTAGATCTGGTTTTCTAAAATCTGAGATCTCTTTTGGAGTTGTTATTATTGATATAAGACTATTTTATCTTTGGTTTGTCTAGTAAGATCACTGTCTATTCTGAAAATACACTTTTGTAACTGACAAAAAGTTTAAGAAAAATATAGATTGTTTTGATATGAGGCTTTCTAGTTATTTGTTTTTTATGTTTCACATGATAGCATTGGTAGTTGAACCTAGTGTTTTTATTTCAATTACAAAGAATTCTTCCCTTGCTGGATCCGGCTGTTCTGTGTGTAAATGTCATAGAACCCACAAACTTTTCCTCCTGTCACCATCATTGGGTACCTTTGCTGACTTATTAATGTCTTCACCAAAGAATAAGCAGGAAAACAGAACCCAGGACATTTTTTTTTTTTTGTCTTTTTGTCTTTTTTCGTGACCGGCAACGGATCGCAACCCC